TAAGGACGCAGAAGTGTACACGGGAGCGTATACATTATTAACGTGCATCACTCGCGAACGCGACACGTAAGAAGTTATAAATAAAATATTAAACTCACTCGACGAATGTAGCCGCGAATTAGATTGTTCCAGCCACGTCGAAAATATCTTTCCCGAAAATTTCGTAACAATTAGCACGACTGCACGTGCAAGTGGTGTTAGCTAATTATTACTTTACGCGAAATTCGCTTTGATACAAATCTCTTCACGTAAGAGAAAGAGGAGAGATGTGTGCAAACGTTTTCTCCATTCGTCAAGTCTCTAATGCAGATTATTATTACGTGTAACGTAATTTTTTTCATAAATATGCAATCTCACTTATCTAAAATGGAAATTTACTTTTTAAATTTCCTGCTCGATCGATAGGACTCGCCTCGCAAACCCTTGCAATAGTAATGTTCGCGTACTTTAACGAGCACTGAACGAGGCAAAATTCCCCTAAGAAATTAACTGCGTGAAGCTTCGCTGCTTCAGTCTCTAAGCCTCTCACAGGCGCGTTCTGCCGCGGCAGTAACGGCAGCAGCAGCAACAATAACGGGAGACCCTTTTAATTCCGTGTCGGAATCACGCCGAAGGAGACCGTCGCGTATCTTTAGTAACCAGTGCATATTTCATAGATGTGCCGTGTGTGCGCATAATTTTCGAGCGGCTGCTCTTACACCCCGCCCGCAGGCGCGCCTTCAACCCTCGGCGCTCTCTACCACGGACCCCGGCTGTCCGCCCCGCTGACGGACGTTCTCTCCTCGCAGCTTGGGGTAGGAGCCGCACGCCGTTCGCGTCCCGCTCCGCGAAGGGCTGAGAGAGAGTTGATTAATCTCTACAATATTTAAGAAGCGCCGGGGTCGAGAGCAAAAAGCCTTCCGCCCGAGCTTTACGGAGATAGCTTTCCCCGTTATATAAATCCCCCTGGCTAATCCGCTGTTTGCATCGATGTACCTCTTGTGTTTTCCCTGCGGTGTCCCTTGCCTTCTTGTCCCCCTCGTGGCGACGCGTCGCTCGCGTGGCCACTAAATACATCACCTTAATGGATTTTTAGGTGTGTCCCCGAAAAGAAGCTCTTTAAATTCGACTTTTCATACTGGGGTTTTATCCTGAAATATTCTTATCGTACACGATATCCCGCGTAATACCAAAATCTCCCGCAGAAAAGATAATGTCGAACTGTTAACGGTCGAAACGTTTAACCACTCTGCACCCAGGAAAAAGTTTGTTCGAAGTCAAACAAATTTGTTTGCATTTTAACCTTGCTACACAGAAAGAATTGTTTCTTAAAATTTATCCTGAAATTCATGTAATCGTGGGACAACGCGAAATTTCGAAGAACTTTATGAGAGTTTTCTCAACTTTTACCATACATTTTACTAGTAATTAATTTGATTAATTTGTAAAACAACTCTCATAAAGTTAATTGTTTAAAATGCCATATTGTCCCACGATATATTCCACGATTTTCAGGGCAAATTTTAAGAAAATTCTCTCCGTGCGAATTTTTATTTAATTTCAAAGAAGTGATTTCTTTACCTTAACCAAAATTTAATTTGATTGAGACTGAAATTTCTAAGAGAAATTTGTATCCATTTCTTCAAATCTAGCTGGCAAATGTTTTAGTAGACGCAAATAAAATCTTAAAAGATTCAAAGAAACGTGATTTCAACGTATCCCATTTGTTTAACTGATCAAATCTTTTTTCTGGGTGTACGAATCGTGTTTATATTGATTACGAAAAATATACGAGAACGAAAAAATTATTACGATTGTCCCGCAATGAATTGCAGTGAATATTTCGCGATTAAACGTTAAATTAAATGGGATGGTTTTATATCGGGGAATATAAAATATATGTGCATAGAATTATGATATCCGTGCGATCGCGCGTACGTGATACTTCGTATTTATAATATTACTTCGTAATTCGAAGTTCGATTCGACCGATTTAGTTTTACATGTTACTCGCGACGTATTACACTTAAATGTCTGGCAGCTCTCGGGCCAGTTAAGTTAATCCGCGACACAAAGTGTGTCGGTCCACACGCGCGAGATACAATGCCGCGATGTCCCTTTAAATTCGGCCAAATATTTATGCGAGTGTAACTCGATGAGATGCGGGATCGCGTCGCAGATTGCTAGATAGAATTGTGCCGAGCCGGCAATTGCGTTATCCCAGTTTATCGTATCCCGTGACGTTAACTCGCGGCCACGTGCTCACCAGGGGATTTTGGCACGGCGCGCGCATAACTCGCGCGTTTTAACAATTATGAGCCCGAACGTGGGATTCAATAACGGCGCGCCGCTCGAAGTGTACTCACAGTTGCAAGTTACATTACAGAATTGTCGCTACTTGCGGATTACTCGCGCGAGAATAGACAGCGGTGAGAGTGCACTGTGTCGACGAAAGGAACCGCGAAAGCACAGATAATTGTATTACTAATCACGCTGCAGATGGAGCAAACCTGCAGAGTTTACTCGGCCGCAATAACTCGCAGGCTGCGGCCACTGAAGATTTTCCGCTGGCACGTTTTTCGCGAGGGGAAACGTAATGCGCTTAATCAATAAATCGATAGTACACTGCCAAGTGTACAAAAAAAAATAATTTCAACACCGTGCAGCGCGAAGAGTACGAAAAAACGCATCATCGGTCAATTACGACGTTCCGTTACTCTCGCACCTCTCGTCGAAATAGCGCGACGGGGGACTGAGAATAAAAAAAATCGCGAGATCTAATTCAATCGATCTGGGTTAAAAAAAAAACTATTGGCGGGAGCACTGGCGAAAAGTGCGACACCGAGCACGGAATTATTGAGTGTCGAACGATATCGTGTACGGAATTATTAAATGGCGAAACTCTATTCCATAGCGTAATTCTATTCCGGGCCGGTGAAGAAAAGATATAGAGAGACCTAAAGGACGTCGCGGATGCCCCAACTGGCAGAGAGCAGGCGATAATTGCATTGCTAATAGCACGACGGTGAGTGGGTGGGGACTTGCACAGTTTATCGCACTTTATTGCTTTACCATGAGCGCCGTACCCTCTGGGCATTCTCCGATGGCGCGTATGCAGTTTGCCCCGTTCTGTCCTGAAGCTTAACGTTCAATGTGCAAAGACGATAACGGCGTAACACGCGTGGAGACATAATGTAGATATTAGATAAACGCGCGCCGCGCTTTACGGGCTATCATTGCCACGATTTACTGCTCTTGATGTTGAATACGATGCCATAACTTTCTTCTTTGGCTCCGTTAATTAGTTATCTCTCTCCTGCGATATATCACAGGGAGCGGAAGACGAAATTATATCTCACGATATTCCGGAGCAAGTGCAACGGTGAGTGCTTTTATCCTCTTTAATTAATACGGATTACTTGATACGAGTAGTAAAAGTCTTCCCGCTGAACACGTTGTGTGGAACTCGCGGGTGTTCCACCGTTTGTGTTAAATAGAAATCGTTAACCCGAGATTAATAATATCCGCGATAAGCTGAGATCGTTTCATAAAGTAGAATATAAAAGTTAGAGGTGAACGTACGCGCAATAAAAATCTGCGAAGGAACTGACAGCCAACTTGATGAAATGGATAATATCTTTTTTGCGAGCTTCTATATAAAGATCTCATTTGCGACATTAATCACGGGGGCAGAATCGAAAAGCCAGTTGATAACAATAACACGCGAGGAAATAATTATCGGGGGCCTAATAAAAACCTAAGTTGATTCACGTGCAGCTGTCACGTGCAAAAATATTGCCGTCTGTGTGTCCTGAATTTAGATCTATCTAGGACAAAGTCGGCGGTAAACACCGGAGAAATTCACGACGCCGCTCGGCGGTGACAATGTAATCACTTTCAGACCATCTGTGTTCAAGATTTCACCGCGCATTTATTCATTAATTTTCAAATGACTGATTCATTTGTGAATTAATAAATAAATTCGCGGTGGCGTCCACGTTTTTGCACTCGGCACGGTTTATCCGTTTCATAGAGATTTGCAACGCGCACGATTAAATAATATAATTGTTTTTGTAGAACAATTAAACATTTGTCCCTCCCCCGCTAAACCTATACCTGCATACGCACGCCGTCGCGGAGCGCCTGCGATCGGACTGGCGGACTCCTCGTAAATTGGATTATCGCAGAATCCGAAAGAGACGCGAAGCTGCTCAATCGATAAAGCGCGGCGTTTTATCTCACATTTTCTAACACATCTCGCCGGACTGTCTGTACAGGCAAGGTATCTCTACGCCCGTAATTGATGAAAATTTACTTCGAATTTCTTCGATTCAGCAAACGTCCGTCGGTCTGCTGCTTGAGCGATACGTCGATGCCAGGACTCGTGGGACCCGAAGAAAAACGTACGGGAGAAGAACATCCTCGTACCAAAAATTACTTTCCGCATTGAACTTCGGCTGCATTACAAATACGCCCGTTTCCCCTTGTAAAAGTGCTTCAAAGTTTCGACTCGCGTAGACAAGGGATCCCGAGACATCGTAAGAGAGGAAACTCGTCGAATCGTTTCTAAGTTCGTACACATAAGCGAACAAAGAGAAAATTCTCCTAACGCTCGAAACAAAATATGTAATTCGGTGCAAAATGTTACATTGTTAAATGATCAAGTATTAAATTTACGATACGTGTGTGTTGCAAAATATGCGATAGAATGGAAAGATTAATCAGAGAATAACAGCGTGAAATATTTAAAATTCTTGGAGATATTTGTATCCAAAAACGGCAACGGTGTTACCGTAATTTAAAAAAATCGTTTAAACTTATCTGTTTTAATCAAATGTAAATCTACTCGATAGATAAAATAATACGATAGACAAAGATCATCAAGATAAATTGAAATTGCTCATGTAAAACCGTACGTTTGGAACTTACGTGAACTTACGACAAATATCGCCTCTTCGAGTTAAATTGATATTTAATGATATTAATATTTTTATTGCTATTAATTTAATGCAACAACATACCTTTGTGATGTTTGTTGACGCTTATTACTTGACCATCTTCTCGCTTCCACATTAATTTCGGCGGCGGGTATCCGTCGGCCTTGCATGTGAGAGTAATATTCTGATGTTCTCGAACCGCCACAGTGCTTTCCGTAGAAAGGGAATCCAATATATTTGGTGGCACTGGAAGACAAATAAATGAGCTTTTTTATTCGGAGTTTAACCCCACAGCATTGTACGATTAACGTTCATTAAACGCTCCTTTTAATGCGAATTTTACAAAGCACACGTTTATTTCGGTTAATATAATGTGAAAACCCTCTTTAAACGCATCGCGACAATTAAAACACGACAAAACAATTTTTGATTAAAATAATTATTTAGTTACTAATATGAATATCGCTGCGTTATGAACTTTTATGACAGCGCTTATTTTCCTTCGTGTTGCGTGTCACATTGCAATTCATTATTGTCAGAAAATGTGTGTTCCGTATGTAAATTACTTGGAATAAATTACTTAGTTGAGGTAATTAAGAAAATGACATTTACCAACGACTTGAAGAAAGCCCACTTGGCTTATCATTGGATTGGTATTTACTTGGCACATATAATAACCCCGGTCATCCTGTTGCACGCTATTAATATGAAGCAGCCATGTTTTCTGATTGTCATGCGACACGGAAAACCTGGGTACTTTCACGACCACATGCTTGTGAATAGTGAGCAGCATTTGGCGGCCTACATGGATCCACGCCACCTGTAAACACGAGGGAAATATATATTTAAAGGTATCGTTAAGTAACTTGATAAACATTATTAAATTCACATTAAACCAGAATTATAATATATTTCTAGATCGTGTATATAATTTTTATAAATAAAATTGTGTTTTTCACGTTTTATTAACGTTTTCATGTTATATGCAATAACATCAACATTAATAATAATAATATTATAGATAATCTTTTCCGTTCCCTCTTTTCCCTGTTTTTTTTCTATAACAAATTTGCGTTAACAAATTTGATATTACTATTATAAATAGCAAAAGTAAATGTATACTTTGACGTTTATAAATCGCCTGGGAGAGAGAGAGAG